GCGGAAATGGAGTCGAAAGAACAGCTCGTGCGTAATAAAATCTTGCGCATTCATCACGAGAACAAGGATCTCTCGCATCGTTCCATCGCTAAAACGTTGGGAATCGCGAATTCCACGGTGTCGCGAGTGATTAAGCGGTTCGAGGAACGGTTGACCACCGATCGGAAGCCCAGAAGTGAAGGAAAAAGTATTCCGTACAACACCAAAAATCACAACCGCGTAGTTGGGGCCTTCAACCGAAATCCGAACGCCTCCGTTAGGCTAAGAAGCTGCACCTAAGCCGAAGTTTTGTCCAGAAGGTCAAAACTAAGGCTGGGCTTCGAACGTTCAAGGTACAAAAGGCCCCTAATCGCGACGAGAAGCAGAACAAGTCCGCCAAAACCCGTGCCAGGAAGTTGTACCTCAACATGCTGACGAAAGTTGAATGCTGCATCATGGACGACGAAACATATGTGAAGGCCGACTTCAAACAGATCCCCGGCAACCTGTTTTTCACGGCCAAGGATAAGTTCAGCGTTCCGGAGCATGTCCGCACTCAGAAGATGTCCAAATTTGCGAAGAAATTCCTGGTTTGGCAAGCCATCTGCACGTGCGGGAAGCGGAGTGCACCTTTCGTGACCCAGGACACGATGAACGGACAGGTGTACATAAAAGAGTGCCTCCAGAAGCGGCTGCTTCCTCTCCTGAAGGCCCACAACGTCCCAACAATCTTCTGGCCGGATTTGGCCTCATGCCACTACTCCAAGGACGTGCTGAAGTGGTATGCGGACAATAAGGTCAATTTCGTGCCGAAAATGTTCAACCCTCCCAACACTCCGGAGCTCCGCCCCATCGAGAAGTACTGGGCGATTATGAAGCAGCACCTTCTTAAACGACCTAAGGTAGTGAAGACAGTCGAGGAACTGAAGAAAGTATGGGTTTACATGCAAAAAACGGTTGATTCACAGGTTGTGCAGAATCTTATGGCCGGGGTTAAGGCCAAGGTGCGGGCATTTGCGTATGGACTGTAAATAAAATACGAGTAAAATGGTAAAATGAAGTTTAATAGTTATTTCTCAATCCCTGAAAATTTGATGGCAATCGGATGAAAACTCGAATTTTGCGAATCAATTTTGTGTGTGGCAATTTCATCGTGGACACCCTTTAGGTAGACAAAGCAAACAAAATGAACAGAACATGAACTTTCGCGCCTAGACAATAAACATTATGGAATAAAGCTCTCTTTGGTTTTGAATAGGCAAATATGCAATTAAGTCCTGTAATTTCGTTATGCCAAAAAAGGTTGTTATAGATCTGCCTTGATGAGATAGAAGTGAATCTGTTTGGAAGATTTTCATGTGACCGGTTTTTTTTCCGCTGTAGTTTTTTTTTCTCTTTTGAGGTTTTTACTGGAGAGGTTGGCTCCGAAACCAACTGGAAAACTTCCAAATCTAACACGGGTTTTCTCAGGGTGAAAGTAGAGTCTTTGCCTGTGATGATAACCACTCGCATTGGTTAATCTTGGCCCGGGCGGTTTATTGGCAGCATTTTCTCCTCAGTTGCATTTAATTCACTATTTGTGACATACTTTTTCTAATTGAATAGCTCTAGTCAGCCAACTCGCTTTCCGCCCAAAATTTGGGAAAAATAGGAACCTAATCCTGCAAGGTCTCATACGGTCGGGCAACCTCAAAATTGGTAAATGGTCTCCCTCGGGAGTGGCGCTTAAGCCATTTTACTTTCAACGGAAAGCTCGTAAGGCTGACGGGCTACAATATTAAAACCTATAAAAGTTTGAATCACCATTTCATAAAATACTCTTGATGAAAAAAGTTAGAAGTTAATGAATGTAACTGAATGCACGAAATGAATGTAAATGATTTTCCATGCCTGGGTTTATCAATATTCATTGTGAAAATTTGGAAGAATCCATTCTGAAAATGGGACACGTTTCAGCAGGATAACGATCCCAAGCACACGGCAAATAAAACACTCACTTTTTCCGTTCTTGGTGCATAAAGCCCATAGAATAGCCACCCCATTTGAACACCATCGAAAATCTTTGGGCTATCCTCGATTGGTGGATCTTTTTTTGTGCCGGTCACTGTATTTCACGAGAACCTACGCAGTTTTATCAACCGGTTGAAACTAACGATTTTAAATTGGTTCACACTGGACGAACCTATCGGTCCCAAGTACACCGAAGAACGTACCCCATTACAGTCGAAAGTCTAGTACTACACTATGTTTGTTTTGATTCACTATAAAAGTTTGACAAATAAAATGAGTGGTTCCTGGATTTTCCTATGTTTCGAGGGGTGCATCGATTAGCTTGGGACCAAAGAGAGTACCAGAGCTGAGCCAAAAAGTTGAGCACGTTTCTTCGGGACCTTCTGGTCTTAGAGTTGGTTTTATCGAGTTTATGCACATCATGTTGGTTCCACTTTCATGTCCTGCCCTTTGGTTCGGTGAGAGTTAGGGCGCGTTCTGCCAGGTTGGCCGAGGCAGATTTCATGTGTGAGTAAGTATTGAACATTGTTATGTGAAATTCACTTTAAAAGGTGCGTTTCATATTTCATCACATGTAGTTCCAAAGAGCCTGAACGAATGTGGCGCTTGCAAAGATTACTTGAAGATACGATATGACGGAACGTTGATACTAATTGGGTAAAACACAAGTAATTTTTTTCAGAAATTAGTTAAGATAACTGCTAATGCAAGCGACATTAACCGCCTTGACCCTAAGTAGATTATATCAACCCTAACAATCGATAGATACCACCACTTGTTCTTACTGTTTCTCTGTAATGTGCTGTCTCTGAAATACGAGTACAATAAACATAACACAGTAGCATCTGCCACTGTCATGACAGGACGGCCGAAATCATTATCGTATTTTATTCATCAAATCACAACGTAGGGTCCTGATCTACCACTGGACGAATCATTGATGCCGTGACCATGATTGCGGACTTATCGTTATCCACTCCTGAGGACGGACCGGACCGGACAGCCACGAACAATCGGACTTTCCTATCAAAGCTTACCTAAAGAATCACCTTCACCATCGACATCATCCAGACAGTAACAAGTAGAAGGATATCTGGTTGAATCACCCCGGTTTTGGCTCACTGAAGGTGAGAACAAATTCGGAGCTCAGCCTTCCTACCGAGATTCAACCAGAATTCAAAAATCCTACCTGCATTCCTCTGGGAATTCAGGCCTTCGACTGGGCGTAGTCAGGCCAGGATTGTCACATACGGCACAATCACCGCAACGAATCTCCCAGCAGAAGGAACAGCATCACATACACACTAATCGAGTCAGTACGGTTTTACCGAGTTTTTGAATTGCGGAACTGTTCGGTAAAAGTTTAAAAATCTGTGGAAAATTTATTAATGATAAAATTTGTCCTGAACTTGTACATGCATAGTTCTGTTAACCCCATTTAATGATAGAAAATAAAATTGGTCGATTTCATTGATTCCATACGGATAACGGTCATTTGAATTTTTACCGACTTTTTCAGCAATTCAAAAAACCCGTAAAAAAATACTGACTCCTGTAAAAAATCTTAGTGTGCAGGATTCACTATAGAACGTTCATTCCTATTCTTACCAATGCTGCAAAAGTGCTCCACCTACGAAATTTCAAAGACAAAGTGACCAAGTGCGTCTAGTATGCCACCATCCATCGAAGCGATCGAAACCATAACAGGAATCAGTGAACAATACCATAAAAGCGAAGACAACAAATCAAGAAGACTGGCAACTCTACCATTTTCTCATACGAACGCTATGAGACAGGTACAATTGCGCCATCTGCCGCTGAAAGGTAAATGCTTCGAACGAATTTGATAGCAAAGATTACATCCTCAGAAGAAGGGTTTGTGTATTTGCTAATTTTTCTATGCGTTGCTTCCACCTTTACTCAAGTGTAGCGCTACTGTATCTGTCGCTTGGATTCTGGCAAAGTTGCCAGTCTTCTTGATTTGTTGGCTTCGATAAAAGGCAATTCCCACCATCGTAATATCATCAGCTCCAGATAGTAGACACAATCAGTCCAATTTAATTCAAGTTATTCGGCAATTAACTCCTAAAATGGTAAACACAATCAACGGCAAACATGTGTTAAATAGTTATTTTTAAGTGTGTAGAATTGATTTTAAACACTTTTTGCTGCGTAAACATACATTAAGACAACTTTACCAAAAGAAAGGAATTTATAAACATAACCATGTTCTAGAAAACTACATATATAAGAAAATCCTGTTATTCAAATATTCACAAACAACATGACAGCGTTAAAACGAAAAATCAATTAGTCAGAAGATTCAAAAGCCACCCCTGAGTCCATTGCTTCCCAAAATGCTTTCACGTAATCTGCCCTGAATCTATTTTTTTTTTCGATTCCAAAATTAAACGGTTTTCCATCCCAAAAGCCCGATACACGAATGAACACCAAGTGGCAAATCGTGTAACTTGGCCACCTGACCACTTACACCGTTGTTACATAGAAGATGCCACATGGGAACAGAGGCCCACAACCCCCAAACAAGCCGGTCGACCTTCAACTCAACACCGGAGCGGTGTGAAATTGATGACCCGGTCATTGCGGCTTTCAGCTGCCAACAACGGCACGTAATTCGTATTTAATGGCCTTTGCTTTCCACTGTAATTAATTCAGATTATTCACGGATCACTCCTACGCAAACGGTGCTGATTGATTAGTCAGTGTTCTGATAAATCTGTTCTCACTAAAAGAAAATAAATCCATCACGCCGTGGTTGCTCGTTGCGAAACAAATCAAAACTATAAATGAGGAAAATCAACCAAAGAAAACAACATTGATTTTCATTTATCTGGCATTCGGTGGTCGTAGTTTGAGCTGGGACCGGGAGTGCTCCTTAACCGGAAACTTCTCACCATTGTCCCTTCGCAACTGGTATCGGACACATCCACATGTTCGTAAAAATGGTACATTTAGGACATCGAGGGCGCATCCGCACGGAAGGTACTTACCCTAGCACGTGAGTGAGTCGTCGCCGCATCGGGCCTATCGTGACCGGCTCCTCCTCCTCCTCCTGCCTGGGCCGCCGATGACTCGTTGCCTCCTCGCTGGTTCGCCGCCATGAACTCGTGCGTCCGGTAGGCCAGTTCCGGACATTTTTTCCTCCGCGGCAAGGGCGGTTCGTTGACCGAAGCTGCTGCGCACGAGGACGGACAGCGTCGTTGTGGCAAATGGAAATGGGAAAATTGTTTTTGAAGATGTTATTAGAACTGGTTATTGATGGATTTCTGCGGGGTTCAGAGCAACTAAGCTAGCAGGCTACAGCTATGGCGAATTTCACTATCTAGGGCAGATTAGTTATGTAACAAATGCACGCTGACGGTTGGGATCGAAATCTGTCTGTGACAATTGACAATGACGAATTTTGATCGATGGTGGTCGAATAATGGCCGGACAGAGTTTGGTCCCCAAGCAAACAAACATTAAAGCTATCTAAGTACATTACCGCTAAGGGAACTGATTTGCGCCGCTACGTGTCCTACGGGGATGGTGATTACTAAATGTTTGTATCAGTGGAATAGCATCTAGTGTGGTTTATGGATATTCTACACAAAATTTATTAGTTCTAGTAGGAATGATGGCAAACAGTGTCAATCACATTTTGTCTTATTGATTTGAGTGAACAAGTGTTGACGCACATCAAATCGATTTTTGATGTCTTTGCTTAGAAAATTGGGCTGTTCTTTGACTGTAACATTTGAATCATGAGGGGTGATTTTCAGTTCTCTTGAAATATCGATTGGCTGCTTGATTAGAAACAGTGAGAACCGGAAAATCGACCCCCAGTATATGTTTAGAAAATTACGTTGCTGTTTGTATCTTATCATCATTCGTCTCTGTAACCTATAACAGTCTTGATGATTCTACTGCACAAACTAACTATACAACCAACTAAATGATCATGGTTTTAGAAACTTTCTGACCGTATTTATAGTATATTTGGTGATAAGATTAAATTTCTATTCAATCCGAACAATAAATAAAGTCCTAAGTAACATTGATCGATTCTCTTCATCTGTGTTTGTCATATTTGATGCTAGAGATTTCATTGAACAGTGTGCTGATAAAAACTGAAAATGTCCTACATGGTCTAAGAGTATCTGTCAATGTTACTAAGGACATTGTGCATTGTTTGGCTTGAATTTCAGGTTCTTATTAAGCAGATATCCCGTAACTTTACCCTTCGAAAAAGCAGTGTAAATTTCTATTCAATATGATGCACATAAATGGAGCGTCACGTGCGTCACTCCATACAAGTTTACATTTTAGATCATGTAAAGCTATGAGACATGTCATGAAATATTCTAAATATTGTATGCAACCATCCATTTTTGTGAGCAATATTTCTTGCATGTTGGTAGTTTGGGTGAAAATAAATACATCATCAGTAATATTCAGAATTTTTTTCTGTGTAGAAATGGGCGATTTTGAATTGAAACTCCATAAATCTATTGATTTAATGAATCGATCTCAAACACACTAGAAATCGATTGGGTTGATTATTAACGTTCGATTTTCGGTTCCGATTCATAAAAACAAATATTTTTTTTATTATTATTATAGTTACTCTAACGTTTTTGGGTCATTCGTGACTTGTCTGGGGGTGAGATTTGAACTCGTGACTTTGGCGTGAGAGATATGGATGCTAACCATTACGCCGGGGTCGCCCCAACAAATAATTTGATTTTATAGTATACATTTAGATCTCGATGTTGGCAACACGTAGTTTGTGCCTTTTTTGATTTCTACTAGTTTTATTACAGCCGTATCTTGAAGCTGGTCTCCTGCAAGTCCTTTCATTGGCTTCCGTAGTGATTGCAATATTAAGAAACATCGAGTTTAATAATACAATGCTGGGTTCTTTGATATACCGTTTCGTGTTTGCGAAATCGAGATCTCACTGTATTTGCGTAGGGATTGATGCATTAAATCCAAGCTCAAACTCGGGCTTTTACGCATTTGTTTAATAGAATAATAGGAAAGGTAGCTGTTGGATCGCTCTGCTACCAGAGATTTTTGGCAAAACGGACAGTGAAGACTGGTGGTCATGACAAGGTTCCGTTTCCAAGTGGGCTGCCATCGTGTTGACGTAAGCTGTCAGGCAGAGGCGAGATCTTCCAATGCCGAGGGAACCAACTGCGACCGAGGAGTAGATGTGGTAGTGCTGCCAGTGCCCGCAACAGTAGCCCTTCATACTCCCTCCCCCGAGTAGCACATTTTCATTATGAAAAGTTGCAGCAACTTGTTTATGACTGAAATAAGTTGCCTAGACGTTTCAACAACCAATTTGTGACCAGTATGCTATTTATTGCTCATCACTTTGATGGCGTCGACAGTTTAGCTCTGATTTACCTCAGTACACAAAGCCGTATTAAGAAAGACACAAATTTTTGCGCTTAAACCGTTAGTTTTAGGCAAATGGTGTCTTCAGACAAGTTTGTAAATACTTGTTGGCCAATTTTTGGTGCAAGTAGAATAAGGGTAGTGCCTATGATTACTGAGTTCAAAATATGTTTAGTAATTTGGGATAGACCAGCACAATATTCTACAAAGTTGTAGAACAATTTATTTGCAGAAACTTTGCTCCAAATACATGTTTCATCCCTCGCTTTATACTGCTTTTAAAAAAGATAGTTTAGGGTGACCGCTTTTAAATATTTGTTGTCGCAAATGTTTGCTTCTAAATACAATTATATCTTTCGATGGCGCATGTTTTTATTGAAGTAACTAATTTGCTTATTCGGTTTATTGTCAAGTTGTAAATGAATTTTGATGAAAAATATAATTTTTCCCCATGTTGATATCTCAAAATGGAGCAAGTAGATTTGTATGTTATTAGTTGCATTTGAAAGATCGTGATCTCATTCATATGGAGCATGAGCATGATTGACCGCCTGAGGATGCCACTCCGTTATTGCCGGATAAGCTGTAAGTACACAGAAAACCAATAAACGTTGCTTGGGACTAGCAATCATCATCAATGTGTAAATATTGGTAATCTAAAACTAGGCAATACCAGCGCCAGTGACGTCTGAATGCTGGTCAAGAATGGAGTGGATAGGAATATGTTGACATAATACTCGCTTTAATGCAAGCCGAGAAAACCTCTGCACGTCCACTAGAAATCACTGGAATGTTTGATAAAAGGGTTGAGATTGCAGCAGGATTTATTTTGGTAAATTGGAGCTTGTGTTTGAACCCACAGTCTTATGCTCAGTAAGCAAAATCGGCCGCCACTAGGCCACCAAGCCCTTTATATCACAAAATCAAGGTACGATCAAATTGCCATTAAACTTGTTGTGACTAGGTTTTGATTCCGGCGACGACCTCAAAAACTTCTCTTAAGATGGATTTGATATGGATTTCCGACCAACCCGTCTTCCCTGAATCTCAAATATTACTTCTTTTGCATACTCGTCCCTGCAACCGAATTTCATTTTGCTTTATATCATATTATGAAAGAAAGACGATAGCTCAAAAATGTGAAGCAGCTTGGGATTGAACCCATGATTTTCTGCTCAGGTAAAAATAGGTCGCCACAAGACCACCGAGCTTCTTATTAAACGAAACAATTACGATCAAGCTCCTGTTCAGGTTGCTGTTACAAGATTTGAATACCAAGCAACTTTGCTGATGAACAAAATGTTCTATCTCTCACGGTTCACATTTTGTACTGGTTTTTATAAATAAATTAGGGTGACTCCTTACATATCGGCTTTTTTTTCAATTAACTTGGCAAACATTGATTTCTCGCAAATTACTAATTCTAGCAAGAGGTAGGTCACTCCGCACACCAATCTTGGATCATCTTTTTTATCAGTGTGCCGTAGGAGTGTCGATTGTGCCGGTCATAGAGCAAGCTGCGATTGTTTGTAAAATAACTAACCCGGCAACCCGGTATTTCTGACAACTTGAATGTTTTGATTTGTAATCGCAAGGATAAATCGGTCTAGTGGCAACCAAGGAGGAATGCCATGTCTAAAAAAGAAAATAACTTCGGAGAATACTACCGTCGTGGGACGTATGTGAAGAAAAAATGATATTCAAATTTATACTATTCGTTCGCCAGCCGATTGAGGATGACGCGAGAAGTGTTGGAGGTGCGAAGTTTTTCTTGTGTTCTTAGGATAATTAAAGTCCTGGATATTAGGGTTTTATAATGCCCTCCAATGCAAACTAGAAACCTAGCCTTTCGTGATGTGAAAAGCAACGGTCTATCAGCAGCCGGAAAGAGTTGAAACCAGTGGGGAACATTGTTGGAGACCGAATATAGAGAATGATGAATATGACTTCTGTAGATTGTTTTGTGTGGGTTGTAGAATTATTTGAATTAAGGGTACTAATGGCGTCTGATTAACTGCCTCTTTCTCTCGAGCCCTCACTAGAACATGTAAATCTATAAGTGAACCGAACCAACATGACCAATGATACGTGAGATAAGTGCTAGATCTCTATTTGAGTCAAGCGTGGTTCGGGTCAATGTAGTACAAAAATTACACGGTGTGAAATCGACGTGGTTACACAACATAAATATTTTAAAATAATTGAATCACGACGAGGAACGATGGAAATCATCAGTTCAACAGGAAATGTGCTCACCTGCCATGAGCCAAAGTCATATATTGTCTCGAGAAAAAAATAACAAGTTGACGATCAGTCTCAGGTATCCTGCAAGTGAATTTTTAAACTAGTCTGAAGCATATCTTTCGAAAGTCATGTACAGGATGTGGTCATAATGTACACCAAGCAGGGACGGGTTCAACATCATTTGAAGTAGAAAATTGGCTCGTTTTCCCTGTGCATGAATATGATAACGCATCATTCATAATGTTTAAAAATAAAATAAAATATCAGTTGAGATTGACCTGCTGTTCTAGTTTCCTTATAAGGAGCTATCATTTAAATACCTATCCCAAGTAACAAATCTAGAACTGATCGATTTTATTCGAATATTTTAAAGGTTAAAGTGCAGCTAAAGCCAATTATTATAGTTTTATGACGGTCATAAAAAGTAAGTTATAAAATACACTAAAAGCTATCTATTATACCCTGATAAATCATGCTATAAAACCAACTGGTGCCAATGCAATTTTGATTTATGAAAGGTTTTATGATTGCTTTGAAGTGTCGAAAAAA